GTTCTAGTCCCACCTCAGACATGAAAGCCGGCTGGCTGACTTTGGGACAGTGCCTCTCTCTCAGCCCAACTCACCTCACAGGGTGGTTGTTGTGGGGGGAAAAAAGAGGATGAAGGCATATTAGGTATGTTTGCTGCCTTGAGTTATTTATAAAAATAAGAAAGGCTGGGTAAAAAAATCTAATAAATAAATAAATAAATATAGTTGTGATTGTTATAGAATTTATTAGATAATTGTAAGGTGTAGAGTTCTGATTTTGCTTTCCTAACACATAATCTGAGAGAAAAGTTGGAAGAGACAGGATTGTTTGCCTTCATACTGCACAAACAAAAATACCGGAGAGTACTTAGTATGATTGTTCAAATCCTTTGATGACCAGAGTGTCATACCAAATGAGTCACACTAAATACTAAGCCTACTACTAAGCCTCCATCTTGGGATCCAGCAACTTCTGAGCTAACTTTCTCCTCTCTTGTTTGTAATATTACAGAAATCCAGTGGTTATACTGTTACTCTAATTTTTTAAAATATAACTAAACTGTAGGTTTACCTGAGCTGCTAGCTTGCCCTGTCACTGCTATGGGGCAATGGCCATTTTTAGACGGTAGAAATGAACAACAATCCTCACACACTGCAAAAGGACCTCTAGGCATGGTTTCCTGCTCTGCTTTCAAAGTACAGTTTTCCCACTTCTGCTGTCTCAAGCCCTGCTGTTTATTTTGCTTGCATCATTTTAATTTCTTCTAGACCAATTCTACAATTTTATCAGCTACACTGCAGAGGGAGAAAACGTTTTCAACTAAGTCAACTGTTACCATCTCTAATGTCTCCTAAAATGAGCAATCCCAGTATTCCTGCAATAGCATAATGGCTAGAACACTTGTCCAGCACAGAGAATTTTGCTGGTTCAAAAACTAGCTGAAAGTTTTCTTTAGAAAATTATGTCCCCCCCCCCCAACCTGAGTACCTTCTTCTTCACTTAATAAGTCAAGTGGTGTCCCATTTTGTCATTTCTCCAGTCACTTGAAGTAATTTCCATACTTGGGCTAATTTCTGCTGCTTTTGGTTTTTTAAATAAGTCAAGTGGTATATTGTTTCATCTCTTTTGCAGATGGTTGAGGTAACAGGTAAAGTAGGTAGCTCAGGAAAGGAAAAATAGTAATTAAAATGCTGTTGGGTTTCAAATCAGAAATGTTCTACATGCTAGACAAGTGTTAAAACCACTGCATTATTTTGCAGGACTATTATTAAAAGTAACTCTGAAAGACATTAGAGAGCAATAAAATGGCAAGAAAGAAATGAAAATGGTAATGGTGTAAAAGTGTCCTCAATGTTAAATTCTGGCTTTCCAAACCCTGTATTGTTGGAAATAAATTTTACTTGTACCACAATTTGATGCTGTTACAATACACCACTGGCCATAGTCTGTACCAACATAGTCCCAGATTCTAGTTATGAAAAATGAAATCATAATATGATGAATTAGCATAGAGTGCCTTGAACTATAGCAAGGAAAATCCAGAAACTTTGGTATGTTAAAAACTACTACAGCAACTCAAGGATATGATCACTGTTCTGTCAATACCTTCATTCCCATGCCCACTCCCTTCTTGCATTATGATGCTCATTATTCCATGGAAGCCACAAGCTTCTAACTTCTATTTCTTAGAGGTGCCCAAGCTTTTCCAATATCAGTCAAATTAAAAATACATTAATGTTAAACTAGAGGATACCTATAATCTTCCACTTATTCTAATTTGAGGAGGGTACACACACAAGGGATGAATCAGCAAATTTTATTACATAAATAAAATATTTTATTTATGTCCAGAATGGCATACTGTTTTAGAGTATGTGTTACTAGTAGGAGAGTTCCAATCTGGTAATTTTTTATTTAAAAACCAATGTAGGAAATTTAATAACTATTCATATTTACATTTTATAACATATGGGAGATTTTTATGTATCTTCTCTAGTTTATGTAATTGTTAATGTAAATTGCCAAAAAAAACAACAACCTTTATTTTAAATACAGATGGCCCTGTTTTTGTTCTTTGACATAAACATTTCTCTGATGCAAGCTTTTAAATATATAACTACTTATTACAATATTTATGCCATCACATTTCAAGGCTATTTATTATTTTGAAACCCAGTGCTCAGCATACAGGAGATACAGATTAGCTAACTGAGGAGCTTAACATTCTCCAAATATTTTTGTACATTCAAAGTTTTATTCTCTCAGAATTATCCCACCTTAAGCCCATTCATTTTAAACTATATTTTACTGATTGCAATTGCACTTACTTCCAGAAATACAGCCTTTGCAACTATTCCAATGACTGAATATAATACCATATCTTCCCTCAAGTAAGAGAATTGATTATTTTATCTGACATTATGGGTACATGTGGTCTTTGCACAATTTAGACTCATTTCTGTGCCTGCCCTATCTTGCTATCTTGCCTGTGTCCAGGAAATGACTCAGTTTAAAGCTGATAGCTGCCATGTACCTAAATTTGCAACAATATTAGTCCTTTCACTTAAAATTCTACAGATCTGCAAAGACAGTACTGTAGATGATTCGCCCTCCTACTGATAGGAACTCTTGTCACATCCTGGCTCCTTTCTCTCCCGACCCTTTGAGGTCCCCCAGCCATAGTGCTGTTTTCGGCCTTTTGAGCATTGCCAGAGAAGATTATTGCAAATTGACTTCCAGCTGCTTTTCAGAAACTGGGAAGTAGAAACAATAACACTGTGGATGTGCCATATTGTTACCCTCTCCCCTCAGAGTAATCTCATAGGCAGAGGTACATGTCAGTAATAGGGGAGGGGGGGATAGCAAAACATTTCCTTTTTTCTTCCCTCCCACAACTTTTCTCTTTGCCTCCTACCACTTTTTTCCCTCTTCTTTTCTCTCTTTCTCATTTTAGAAAAGAGATTTGTTCTTGCCAGAGAGAATAACTTGCAGAGGGCTTTTGTACTCAGTCCATGTATGTCAATAAATACAAAACAATTAACACAAATTGTTAAGTGCTTTTCATAAAAAAAAATAATAATGCTTACTGTTTTGGACTCAAAGCAGAGTACAAAACAGCAAGCTATATTAAAACTATAAAACAGTCTAGCAAAAACATGAAACAGAGTGTTCAGGTGAGCAAAACTCTTCCTTTCACTAATAGCAAAAGCTTATAAGCCTTTGATACCAACTGTCACTGAGCAAGAAGAAAAGAATGTCTCAGGATTTAAGTTAGGTAAAAATCTCACATAGTGGCTATGTATATATTTTTTCACTGGCAAAATATAAAGGTTGGCACGTATTGTGCATTTTGATATTCCTATTTTTCCAGGGCAAATATGTACTTAGACACATATATATTTAGCCAACTTTTGGAAATGAGGCATAGTATTAATGCTCCCTGATTAAACCTCTGCATTAGGCAACAACTATACAGTAGCAAAAACTCAGTTCAGGTATTTTATTAACTTTCTTTAAGAAACAATTTCTTTCTGTAACCTAGATAACTCTCTAATTATTATGGTCTTGTATATTATACTTCATTCTAGTGTTTACAAGATTGATGTTAGATAGAATTTTAGTAATACATTCTTGAACTACCAAAATCAACATTTTAAAAACTGTTGTCGTCAAGCAACATTTAACACTGAAGCAAGAAGTCAACAATAATTAAACATTAACCACAAAATAAATACAGTATGAAAATAAAACTTCAGGAGATGTTTAAGCAATACAAAATGGATAAGGAAATGTTCTCCTATTGTACAATAATGCCTCAAAGCTGCCCTTACAAAGTTTTTGGAAGCTTGAACAAAATCCCTCTGGCCAGGACAGTAAAAGCTTTCTTCTTTCATAAGATTTTGGCTGCAATCCAATGTATATGTTCTTCAGAACAAGCTCCACTTAATGTAACAGAATTTACTCCTGAGTAAAAATACACAGATGAATGTTGTGCATATATATTTGTCCTTAAGATCTTACTATATAGTAGGTATGTGGAAAAAGATAATGAAAAAGTGTATAGTTCTCTTATCATACAAACATGTGGCCTACAGTTCTAACAATTCACCTTGACAATACTAGAACCTGGTTACATAATTTTTCTGAATGCAAATATTTGTTCAGAATCAGAATCAAAGTAATTACAGTCATTGACCACAGCATCTACCACCTATACTTCAAAACTAGGAATTGGAATACATGCCTATGGTTTCCTGGTATCTCTTAAGGTAATATCTACAGCAAACTCATGGTTGAGCAAAGGAACTCCAGCTGAGGATTCCTCAAACTCAGAACAAAGTTTATAGGGCAGGGGTAAGTGGGAGCAGACTATGCCTGACAGATTGCAGACCTGAAGTTTTACCCCTCAAGTTGTAGACTTCTTTTCCTCCTCTTATTTTCATCTCTTCAGAGAACTGAAATTTGAACTATACAAAAATTCATTAAATGAAGACTTGAAGTGAACTAAACTAATCCTCTATGCCAAACATGGGGAGTGAGAGTGGTACAATGTTCATATTGTAATACTGATTTACAAGATTTGTCTTGACAAGTGGGTTATAAAATACTAGCCTGTGTAAGATATGAACATTTATTTATCATCATCATCATCATCATCATCATCATCATCATCATCATCATCTGTGTGCCATTTCCATCCAAGGCTCAAGCTGATTCACAAGAGTGAACAAAAAACCAAAGCCTTGATTCAAACACTTTAAAGAAATTTCTGGAGGAAAAGTAAAAGGAGAGCATCTCTCGTATTTTTTTTAAAAAAATATGAATATAGTTTTTAATGCTTGTATCTCATAATGAAATCTTAACCAAAACAAAAAAGGAACTTTTTTTAGCTTTAACATGCAACCCAACTCTGCATCTTTATTCAGAAATAAATCTTACTGTATTATATTAGGTTTTATGCCCATATGGATGTGACAGGACTGCCTTCACCGTAGATTTTCTTGCACTAAGAAGGACTTACCTGTGGGCAAGTAGATGGTGGCATTGTTGCAGAAATCTGTGTAGCAGCATTCTGTTCTGGTTACGTTCTTAGAACCATGGCAAAAGATCTGTGCTTTCAGCTGCGGTAGGGAAACACATGCCTTTATTACTTCTTGCCGACCATTCGTTAGCATGACAGAAGTCCAACATGCTCCCTCCGTTTCACAAGTGAAGTTTGTTTTTTCACATAATTGGCACACACAAGTTAGGCCTGAAATGATAATTAAGTCTTTGGTAGACAACAATGCCAAACAATACACAGAATTTTCCCAACCTGTCTGAAAAAGAAAGATCTTGGTGAAGTCATTCAGATTTTTAATCAGATCCAATATATTGTAAATAATACGTTTTTATACAGATTCTTGAGGGAGATACAATAAATCCTACCATCAAAAATCTTAAATTGAAACCATGAATCCAAAGCAAGATTTCAAGATGAGAAAGATGGGAAAAGCTACATTGACCTTAAGGGACAACATACAATTAAACAACCATAACTGAATTCATTGCACTCTCAAAGAGTTAGCAAGGTCCATCTGATCTGGTACATCACCCAATGCTCAGGTCTGTTCTGACACAAAGAACTTTTGAAAGCTGATGGAAGCCAAACTTTGTATCACTTTAAAAATTTAGCAGGCAGTTATAGCAATAAGCCTTCACACACGTATACAAGTAAGCACAGAAAACCTTATCTAGATCAGGGCCTTAATATGGGGAATGGGAGGAGTTTTAATCCCTTACACACTGCAGTTGCCTATCTTGAACTGCACTGTTGAAAAAAATAGACCATTTTCTCATAATGTAAAATGCAGACATAAGGAGACCAATCTGGTTACCTACACTTATTCTACACTAAAATAGATAGGATAGGATAGGATATTCTTTGTTTTTATATTTTTTTGTATTGTGAGCCACCTAGAATCAAAAGGTTGAGATGTGGGGCTATATAAATTCAGTCAAGCAAGCAAAAAAGCAATGGAGATGTAGCTGCTAAAGACTGTCCCATGGATGCATGCATTTTTAAAAACAATTTTGAGGATTTCCCTTTAAAAAAATAAAAGATCCCAATAGTACACTTCCATGGAATACAATTAAAGGTACTTCAGTATAATTCAAGCATCACTAAACTACAGTAACCTTGCGGACAGCCTTTTTTACCATGGTTTTATGTCACAGGAAAGACATGCCAGACTGGTAAACACAGGAAAAGAGTATATTCTGGTAAAGGCAAGTCTCATTTCTGATTTTTTACAATTTGAATCCTTACAAATAATTCACCCAACTTTTCTTATTTATATAGTATAAATATATACATTTATATGGTGTCTAGTTCTGTTTTTGTGGCCGGTAGCCAGCATGCAAATACTCAATTATTGAATGATATCTGTCCAGAGACTTCCTAATATTTGCACTGCTGTGTTACACCGAAATTTTAAAAAATACAAAAACAGAGAAAAAAGGAAGAAAAAAAAGGACAAGAAAGAAAAAAGGACAGGGAAGCAACTCCATTTCTTATGTGCAATATTAAACTTAGACTTTACAGGGACAGTGGCAATAAAACCGTTGCTGCATCTATTTGGAACAGAAGTGATGCATGAACATTTCTCTGTATCTCTGCCAAATGCTATATTGCTAGAATTATAATATTTTGCATTATGTGTTAGTTGAATTATGACACAGAACACATATCTTAAATCTTGCCAAACAAAACCATGCATGCAAATGCACGTTTGAAAACAGTACTTCTGCCCGCTGAAAATTGTTATTTACTTTTTATCAGTACACAGATTCAAAAGTCCTTTGGGAAAAAGAACAAAATTATCTGATCCGTCTTAACTATTTCAAGTTCAGTTGATGTATGTTTTCAATCTATTGCACATTGTTCTACATGCTCTTTATGTTTAATCATATTTAAAACACAGAGGCCCATTTTACTAAAAGCATATAATTTTCCACAGTTATTTAGTGCCACATAGTTTAAGTAGTATTTGTGTCAAAAGCTCTCTGAAACTACTACTTATGCAATGCCACAGAGATAACATTTTTTCTGTTAGTCATGATTAACAAATAAAGTTACTTAGAGCTTTTTGACAGCAAGAGAAAGCTTTAGAATATGAAGCCACTGCATTTATCAGAAACAAATAGGATTGGCCGCAAATTGCATTAAGGCCCAAGTGCTCCTTTTCGGAATTCCAGCCCAATATCATGCCCCTTTGCTGGTACTCTGAAAATGTGTTGGGAGATGACTTTCACGGACATATTAATGGAACTTTTGCCTGCTACAATCTTTGAATCAGTCATAATTTTGCTCCAAGCATTAACAGGGGAAGAAGCTTGGGACACAACACTATCCAGATCCTGCAAGTTATTTGTTATCACAAAAGCCAAGGTCTATCTGACTTAAAACACCATGAGCTTCTATGTTCCTCCTATGGTTAAATTCCTTAATTATCTTCATTCTGGTTATAATAGGAAGCAGCAGACTTGATGGAAATATTGATTCAAATGCAATGCTGACACATCCAGCAAATTTGAGATCTCTTTTTCTGTTTTGTAGCTCAGAGCTTCTTTTCTTTTCTTCTTGTTCTATGCAATTCCCAGAAGTTATCCAAGTTATGGAAAAGCCTAATTCTTGGTAGCCTGTCAAAGCAATGATTCCCTGAAAAGTACAACATTAAATTATTATTGCCCTTTTCCAGGCGTTCGTAACCTACTTTCTCTTCTCTTCCATTTGTTTTTGATTATTCCTTTGGGGCTGAGTTGGTTCCCTCTCCATGTTATTTAAACCTCCTCCCACTCTTCAGTAGCCATCTCCTACCTCCTTCTCATGTAGATTACAGCTACAAAGCAACTCCTGCTTTTCTCTCCTGCCTGTTGGACATTTCCCCATTGTCCTCTGTGGGCGCTGCCAGCTCAAGATCCTGTAGCAGGGAAGCACTGTCTTATCTGTTAGCATCTTTCAGGGATACTGGGAACTGCAAAACAGTTGGGGTCTTTGTTAGCTCAGAAATTGCATATGAATGGTCTAAGAGCCACTAGTGGTCCTTAAGCCACAGTTTGGCCACCCCACCTTTTATAAATAAAATCACAAGACTTTAGTAGGGCTGGAGTGTATCTGAATAATCATTTGCTTTGCACTGAAAAAGGCCATGCTTACCAACTGCGCTAAGTTGTAATGTGGTTGCTTTGGATTTCACGTGATGTACAAAGAATGTGAGTTAATAAACCATTATGTGTTTGAGACAATAAAGCGCCATTTGAAACCCCTGTAGCCACTGGGTTTAATGTGATATGCAAACTCTGGCCCTGCCTTTGACCAGTTCACAGAACTGCAATGCAGGAGCAGCTAGGAGAGAAAGCAAGCCAACAATCGGTCACATACACCTGGAGGACCTTTCTCATCTGCAAGAATGAATTGTTGGCCTGGTTCATATGTCACATTAAGGCATACTGTAGTTACTTTTTCCATGTTTCATATTAAACTAAGGAGTAGGGGCTGGGTTTGACCACAGGCCAAAGCTATTCCCAATTAGGTTTTAGCATGTATGAACCTAGGATTTCTTGCTTCTTGAAACAAACCATGGTTCAGCAACGAAATTTGTGTACTCAGCCAAAATTAACATTTACAGATGAGCAGAGCTGTGTCCCACTCTAAAAATTATGGAATACCTATCCATCATAAAAGACAGCACTGTAGCACAATCCTTTTTATAGTAATTTTATTAAAAATTACAATTAAAAAGATAAAAACTAATACAAACTAAAGAAAAAAGAAAAAGTGCAGAAAACAATAGAAAGAAAAATAGAACAGAAAGAAAAAATAATATAGTAAAGAAAAAGAAAAGAATTATATAAAGAAATGATTTCCCTTCATCACAAGTATAAACAATTTTAGTAACTTATGACGTTCTCTTAATATACAACAGATGATCTCTTCTTCCCATATCCCATCTCTTATCTATAAACAAATCCTTAAAGCCTCATCATTTCAGTCCTAATCAGCAAAAGTCCATTGAGGATTACCAGAGATAACGTATCTATTTTAACCTTGATCAAATAAACCAACTTTATTTTTTATTTTTATTTATATATCAAATTTGTCACCGCCCATCTCATTAAAAAATGACTCTGGGTGTCTTATATTCCTGTCTTTTACTTTTAACAATCTTGATCTTTAGTCTCTTCAAATAATGTTCTAGAACTTGATTTCTTTTCATTTTTTCTTTGTACCTTCTCACAAAATTCTTCAAAACTTTAATAAGCCTCTTTTGTAAATCCAATATAGGAAAATTATCCAGGTCACTCTCTTGGTTTGTTATTTTTACATTATTAAGGCATTGGCTGGCTCTTTTGAATGTCCAGTGTAGCATCTTTTTCCATATCATTCTTGTGGCCTGTCATTTTTAAATCCACTTTCAGATCAGTCTCAATCTTGTCAGATATAACTTGTACCTTTTTCATAACATATTTTAAACACAGTCTATCTATATAGGCAGACACTCTTAAAATTATTTTCTGAGTCCATTGTTCAAAAATATCCGTTAATATGCCCAATGTTAAAATATTTTGCTTCATTCTGTATTAGTACATCACGTTTAAGTGTTCTTCTTCTTTAATTGTAATCTTCGGTTCCTTCTGGTTCCCTCTAGTGTCCAACCTTCAAAGTTTCATCCTATCATTTTTTATTTATTTGTTTTTGTCAGAGAATTCAAAATAAAGGCATTTTCCCATGAGAAGGACTCATATGATTTAATTCCAAAACCTTATTTCAAATCCATCTGGACACTTAGTCTGTTTGTAACTTTCCAAAATCAAAGTTCTAATTACCTTTTGCTGTTTATTCCAAAAGAAGTTTTCTTAAGTCCTTAAACTTGTATTTAAAACTTCTTTTGCTAAGGATTGAAGGAAACTCATCCGGTGCTGTAGAACTTGTCGATCCAAAGATTCCTAATAGCTGAAAAGCAGTTAACAAGCAATTTCCAAAAGTGATTAGAAAAGGAGGTATGCAAACCCAGTGCCCTTTTGAAGTGCCGACTGCGGTTTGAGCAAAAAGATGTCTCTTCCCTCATCTCCCAGAGCTCTAAACCCACTGGAGACCACTCTCTTGTGGGCTCCTCACAAGGAGCAACTGTATGGAGCACTTGTGGGTGATCTCAAGTCCTCTCCTTGTCCAGAAAGGAATTACAAAGAGCCAGTCTATGCATCGGCTCT